CACAGGGCTTTTGGGTTCATCGTGTGTCTTGGTGTTTATTTACCTGTATGTCCTCACGTCCCTCCCCTTACACGTGTGTGTGGCCCAGCATCTCTCACAGTGACCAGCAAGTGGAAGGAAAATCTAGTAATTTCCTCCAAAGATTTCAGTAGATTTTTAAATATAATCTTATTTTTGAGTCTAGGATGAGGGTGATGAAAGACTTAACTCCCATTTTATGCTAACAGGGGATCAGATTCCTTTCTTTGAAATTTAGTGTTAAGCCTTGGATAAAAAGGGCATTTTTTTCAATTGATATACCTACCATCTGACGTTCTTTGATTTTCCTGGTTGTCATCTGTGGTGGGTAAGGCGGTCTTTTGATTTTTTAATGCTACGTCAGCTTCTAAAAGTCAGGAAATTAAGTATTAAATTAATTGAGAAGATTAAACAAATGTCATGCATGAATGACCTCAGTTATATGTTAATAAGCGGAGATCTTCAAACTCTGTAAAGTTCTGATTATTTCCAATGCTCTGATCTTGGAATCTCTGGGACAGTGTTTTGGGCAAGGTCCAATGGTGACAGAGTCAAGATCAATCAAGCATATATATGCCTTGACCTTTGTTAACAGATGCACAGCATAAAATTGGGTCGTTTTCTTTCACAGAGCCTTCTATAATGCAAGTGTTAGGGGAAATGTAGGACTAACTACCAGTCAGTGGAGCCAAATTTAGAATGACTGCTTTATAGCCCATTATCTTGAGAGGAATTTGCAGCTCTAGTCTGCCAAATGATGGAAGCCACACACAGGGCCTCTAAATTCTCAATGGATAAAAAAGAGCTCAAGTTAAAACCAACTGCTCACTGGGCTCCCGCGCCCACACCCTCTGCCTCCGGCTGCCTCTGGGCTTTATTTGTTCAGCCCACTCCTGGTGACTTGACCACCAGCCAGAACTGGGGCTGAATTCCCCATCCCATCCTCTGCCCACAGCCTCCTTGGCGGTCTCTCTGCCCTTCCTCCCACTGCCGGCACCTTGACCTCAAGATACCCTCTCTGGTCTGGACCATGGCCTCTGTCCCCCGCCAGGTTCTTTTCACCAGTTACTCCATTCTGAGAGGCAGCAGCTGTTTTAATTGGTGGAATCTGCACCACACTGGTTGTTAGATATTTCAGTATCAGCCCTGCTTGCAGCTTTTTGTTTTCTGTTTACTTATTACTTTCCTTCTTCATCCAGTCCAGACCCCTGGAGTCCATCACTTCACTAACTTTCTTGCAATTATCCTCAACTTCTTTGTCTCACACCTCTTCCTCCCCAAATGCTATATAAAATAGTAAAACTGTACTCATTTTCCATTTCTGAATTCAATGCCAATGACTAAATCACTTAGCACCCATTTAAGGCGCCAGTAAAATAAGGACACAAAAAATATGAGAAAAATAAAACTTTTGGGAAATAATTTGATATTCCAAATAAAGTCATCGTGGAGATACCCAGAGTTCTGCCAGATACAGCATGCTGCTATTCTTACTCTAGTTGCAGGATGGCGGGACACTAATATTTCAGGGCTTCCTACAAATCACGCATGCAGGCGTCCACTGCTGCGTCCAGGCACAAGCACCTGTGCAGGGAATCACAGAACCGCACACTGGGGTCCCTACAAACTCATGGTCTCTAACTTCCACTGAGCCCTCAGCCCTGGAAAAACATTCTGTGCTTTTCCCGTGTCCTTCTTTCCTTTCATCTTAATGGTATTTCAAACCTTCCCCTTTTTCCTATCACCCCACCTTCCCCCCAGGCTTTGACGCTCGGGACCTATTCTGCTGCCTATTTTGTTCTGCACCCGCATCGTGCACACTTCCCGCCCCCACCCCCTCCCTTCTCTGGGGCCTCAGCAGCACAGATGCTTCCTGTCTGAGGCTGATCCTGTGCTCTGGGGCTTGTATTCTGCGCTGTCTTGAGGATCTTTCTCCACACTCCCCTCCATCTTCACCCACTCGCTCTCCAATGTAGTTAAATGTTAACATCCATCCATCCATCCATCCATCCATCCAGATTTCTATCTGTCCACCTATTTGTATTTTTGGATGTGGGAAACATGCACATGGAACAAAATCAAAGGGCATGAGAGACTACGCAGTGAAGAAGTCTTCCTTCTCCAGCCACTCAGGTCCTTCCCTGAGGGTCACCGTGGGCATCGGCTTCTTCTAATAACGACCCGTTGCTGATGACTCCATACCCTCGTGTCCAGCCAGATCTCTCTCCTGGCCTCCAGAGACATGTGTCCATCACCCACCAGACATTTTCCCTTTGATGCCTCTTGAAAATCTGCTCCTTCTCCTGGATTCTTTACCTTAACCACAGCTTCTCAAATTCATGATTTAGCATATCCAGAAAATAACAAGGACAATAGAGGCAACCAGCCTGGGAACTCCAGCTGCCCCAGACTCAGTTCCTGGGCCAAGGAGATCAATTGCTCCACATACCCAACCCATCTATGGCTGAGTGTTGGGAAGTTCTGTCTTAGGGACTGACACCACCCTATGTCCAGATGACAAAACTTCGGGCATTCTTACTCCCTTGAGCTCTCCCTCATCCTCTACTGCGGATTGGTCAAGTTCTGTCAATTTTATGTCTTTTACATCTAACCCCTTCTTGGCATCCTCATGGCCACTTCTTGGTTAAGACAAGGCCCTCACCATTTCTCCACCTGCAAGAGAACTGGTCTTACTGTTTCTGGCCTCTCTCTCCAGTCCATCCTTCCCATTAGAAGAGACTGAGCATTCTACAACTGGAATCTGCTCCTACCCCTCCCCTGCCTAACACCCTTCACTGGTTCCAACAATGCAAGAACCTCTGCCCTCTGACACTTCACCCTTGAACTTTACCTTCCAGATAAAATGAAGCGGCAGTTCTCAGAAAGTTCCTTCTTCCTTCTTTCCCTTTGTATATGTTGCTCCCTTGGAATTATCCCCACCTTCACCTTCTTTGCTCTCATGACTCAGTTTAGATGTCGCCTCCCGCAGAGAGCCCTTCCATCATGTAGCTATCCTGATGTAGCCCTTGCCATTGCTCCTGTGGCAGCCAGCACATTCCGCTGGCCCACAGCACTGAGCACCCCGGCTCTACAGCGAGACTGTGGCACCCGAGGCCGGGGTCTCCCCTCCCACTCTGGTCTCATTCCTGCCCTCCCAGTTCCACGAAATTACCCTCATCAAAGTCGTGACGGTCATACATCCTTTGGATACTTTTCAGGCCCCATTTTATTTGATCCCCGGCAGCATCTGAGAGTGTAGACTGGCCCTTGTTCCCAAACGCTTTCTGCCTCTAGGTCTTCCGTGACATCAAGTGTCAGGGGCTGGTCCTGGCTCTCTGACACCCCTTTCTCCCAGTCCTCTGTCGGCTGTTCCTGCTCTCCGTAACCATCAAAGGCTGAGTTCCTCCAGGCCTTCTCCTCTCACTCTCTCTAGATACTCTCCACCACGCTCATGGTTCATTTATGTTTATGAGGCAACAATTCCCAACTCGATGACTGCAGTGCAGAGCTTTCTGAGCTCCAGAGAGCATGCAGTTCTATATCCAATATTTCCACTGTAGATATCCCATAGGTATTTCAGAATCCAATGAAGGAAACTAAACTCATCCTTCCTCTACTCTGGCACGAAGACCTTCCTCCCTCTCCCACCCAACACACACACACACACACTCTCTCTCTTTCTCAAATAATGTTCTTTTACCATTTTTCCCCTGTCAATAAATCCACCCCATTGCTCAACCAGAAGAAGCCTGAGAACTCTGGGACTCCTCAGCATTGGTCCATCATCGAGTCTTGATTATCCTGTCTCCTAAATATCTCACAATTCCACCAGCTCCACCTTGGCTGTGATCGTCTCTTCCTTGGGGTACCGCACTGCCCTCCAATCAGTCTTTCTGCAGACAGCCTAGCCTTGTTCCAATCTGCTTTCCACACTAGTCACAAACCTGATCAGGTCCCTCTCCACCTGGAAGGAAGCCTTCGGAAGCTCTTGTATCTACTCATGGGTAGATATGGGTCTCTCAGCTTCATCTCTTTAGGCTTCGGCCACACAAGCTTTTTGGCAGGTTTTCAAACAAGCTTCTCTATGCCCTTCTGGCTCAGGTCCTTTACGTGCTCGAGCACGAGCTCCCACGGCACAACACCCTGTACTCTCACCGCTAAGATGCCCCACACATGCGGACATTTGTCTAGTTTATGATCCCTGATGGACCGCAGGTTCCAAAGGGGCAGGACAGGTCTATCCTATTCACCCCGTATTTCTAGCTCCCAGCACTGGCTTAGAGTTAGTACCCCTCGGACATTAGTGGAAGGAGGAATGTTGGGGGTCTCAAAAGGCACTTGATTAAAGCTCTTTGCATCAATGAATTTATTTATTTCTATGTTTCTATTTCCAAATGTAACACAAAAGAAAGCAAAAAACACGATAGCACTTCCTGTGAGTTTATGATTTAGAGAAAATTCCAATGAGAAAAATAAGCTTATTGAAATTTATTGTTTTTTTAAAAAGTTATCTAACAGTAAATAAGACAAAAAACAACAAGTGTTGGAGAGGATGTGGAGAGAAGGGAACACTCATACACTGCTGGTGGGAATGCAAACTGGTGCAGCCACTGTGGAAAACAGTATGGAGATTTCTCAAAAAATTAAAAATAGAAATACCATATGACCCAGCTATCCCATTACTGAGTATTTATCCAAACAACTTGAAATCAATAACACAAAGAGACTTATGCATCCCTATGTTCACTGCAGCATTATTCACTATAGCAAAGACATGGAAGCAACCCAAGTGCCCATCAACAGATGAATAAATAAAGAAGATGTGGTATATATATACAATGGAATACTACTCGGCCATAAAAAAAGACAAAAATCATCCCATTTGCAACAACATAGGTGGTCCTTGAGGGTATGATGTTAAGCACAATAAGCCAGACACAGAAAGACAAATACTGCATGATTTCACTCATACGTGGAAGATAAGCCAATACATGGATAAAGAGAACAGATTAGTGGCTCCTGGAGGGGAAGGAGGTGGGGTGAGGGTGAAAGGGGTAAAGGGACACATATGTACAGTGACGGACAAAAAGTAGACTACTAGTGGTGAGCACAATGAGGTCTATACAGAAACTGATAAATAATAATGTACAGCTGAAATTACACAATCTTATAAACCATTATGACCTCAATAAAATAGCTGAAAAAAAGTTATCTAACAGCAAATGTAGTGTTGTGAGTAGAACTGTGTTCCCAAAAAGATATGTTGAAGTCATAATCCGTGGTACCTGTGGCTGTGGCCTTATTTGGCACAGGGGTTTGGCAGATCTAATCAAATGAAGATGGGGTCATACTGGATTAAGGGTGACCCTAAATGCAGTGACTTGTGTCCTTATAAGGAGAGAGAGAGATGGAAACACAGAGACACACAGAGGGAAGACAGCGGCAGAGACTGGAGTGAAGCAGCCACCAGCCCAGAAAGCCAAGCTTTGCTGCCAGAAGCGGCAAGGAAGGAATCGTCCCTGAGCCTTCAGAGGGAGCACAGCCCTGCCGACACCTGGGCTTAGGTCTTCTCGGTTCCAGGAGCACGAGAGAATGAATTTCTGTTGTTTCAAGTCCTCTGGTTTGTGGTAATTTGTTATGGCAACCCTGCGAAACTAACGCACATGACACACACGAAATGCACAAGGTCACGGTGTTTTCGAGATGCGATTTCTTTAGCAGTCTTACAAGATGTTTTATCCCAAAGGACACACTAAACTTGGCAGTTTATTTTGTCAATAATTTAGTTTGAAAGTAAGAAAATAAGGATTATAGTTATCTATGTTAAACAGTGATTCACCTTTAACAAATTTGTTAATACTTTTTAATAGCAGCCCCCCCTAAAAATCACATATAAAAATTACCTGATTGGTACGGCTGAAAATTTATCAAATCTCCAAGTGCAACAAGTTTCTCCTGTTGAAAGATGTTATAATCAGAGAATTAAATGACCACAATTACCACCTTAATCATTCTTTTAATAGAAAAGCACTTTGATTCTTGATTTTTAAGAAACTAACAAATATTTGTAACATATCAGAAACTATATAACCAAATGACTAGCGTTCTTCTGCTGATTTCGTCAAACTTTTATTGCCTCCTTATTGTTTTTAGGAATAAGATACACATCGAACCCACAGAAAACCAGCGCACCTTGGCCTAGGGGATCAGTTCAAGGTCATCATCAAAGTCAGTCCCCGTGTGTCTGTCCTGACGTTACCTGGATCAGATCACTTGTCATTCTGGTCATTACTTTTTCACTTATTTCAACATCCTTGAGATCTGTAAGAACCTTCCAGGTTCCATTCTCAAATTTCACAGGCATAGAGAAGACGATTCCCTCAGGAACACCAAACTGGCCTGCGGGGAGCGAGCACAGAGGAGCAGAGCAGAGGCGTCAGAGGCGACCTCCCGACCTCCCGTGTGCGGCGCTGTTGAGGCACAGCGCGCCCGGGGCTTCCAGGGACAAGGGCGACTCTGGAGTTCCTCTGGGGGGTTAAGCATGTCCTCCAGGGCACTGGCTGGGCGCTTTCTCCCCGGGTGTTTCTCTCAGAAGGAAGAAAGAAACGCTCTGGTCCGCTGGCATCAGACCCCCACCCTGCCTCCTTCCCCCCCACCCCACCCACGAGCCCGAGGCGTTGTCCTGCCTGGCCTTTGCTCTCTCGCCTCCCCTGGGGCCCTCACCGAGCTGAGGGACGAGGACAAGGACTGGCGGGATGGGAGGGGGCAGGAGGGCCGGCAGTTTCCGCTCCCGGTCCGGTTTGGACGTGCTCCAAACAAGAAGGCTGACAAGACTCCTTACCAGCCGAGCAACAGTCAGGCACAAGTGCCCCCACCGTGTGCCTCAATCAAACAAGAGAACTCTTGTTGCTATTCTGTCATCAGAAACGTCCCCAGGGCAAACAACGAGGGGAGCCAAGCAGCCAGCATCCCGACACTCTCCTCAGAGAGCGCCCCAGGCCTGCTCTGCGCTCTGTGTCCTCTGTGAAGAGCCGGTCCCGGGGCGGGCGGACAACGTGTGAGGCTCTACTGCATGGTACTGGTACGGCGTCAGGGACACCACGATACCTGCTTCTCGCCCCCAAGACTGCACTGGTTATTGATGAATTTCCATAGAGATTAATTGAACTTTCGACAAATAAAGATAAGGTTTAAAATGCCTATTTAACTAAAAAGGTAACATACTGATTTGGATTCCTTAAGGAGACGTTTGTGCACCTTAACTTCAATTAAACAAGACTCACTGAGTGTCTGGCCATGAGGGAGCAGCAAGCAGACCCAGCCACGTCCTGGCCTCGGGCTACACACGCTAATGGGCAGACAATGCAACTAACGGCACCCCCGCCAGGCAGCCGTCCACGCTCCCTGAGGGAGGAGCAGATGCTGGTGAGCACACAGGAGGGACAGAAGACCGCTGACCCGGGGCTCGGGAGATGTCCTGGAGCTGCCCCCTGGCCACAGGGACAGTGGGAGGACAGCGGTTCCACCATGGCACGAGGATTGCAGGAGGCGGGTCGGACTGGGAGGAAGACAGCGAGCTCGGCTTCTGCATGCTGGCTTGAAGGGATGGCAAGACATCAGGGTGGCGATGTTCTGCACGCAGGCCCGGGCTGGCACAGACGCCCAGGCTGAGGCTGGGAGAGAAGGAGCTTGCACAGGGAGAAGGCAAAGCACGAGGGGCACTCTAGACAGAACCTACTGGGCACAGACTGGCACTGCCTCTCTCTCCTTGTTTTTCAAAAACAGCACCAGTCCTCTGAACACTTCTTAACAGATTAACACAGGAAGGCCCATGCAGTGTTCGTGCCTGGACAGCAGGCTGCCATGTTCCCGGTGTCGCCTGGTGCCCTGCCATCCAGGTCCTGACCTGCCCGTGTCTCTGCCTGTGGCTCCTGTGCCCAGATGTTCCTCCCACACACGTCTGCCAGGTAAACGCTACCCACACGTGAAGGCTTCCTGGAGTGCCACCTCCTCCATGAAGCCTGCCCTAGTTCTTCCTGCTGCCTGCCTAAAACTGACCTTGCTTTCCCTTCCTCAGCTGGGATCCAGTGACGAAACTTACGGAAACGCTTTTGTTTATGGACCGGCTCTCCTTCACTCTGCTGTAGGTTTCTTGAAGGCAGAGGCCTGTCTGATCCCTACGTGTGACCCCAGTGCATTCAAGCAAATACTGTTGACTTTCTGAACTGATGGCTGAGCGAATGCCTGAGTGAATAATGATTACAGAGCTGTGAAAATCCAGAAGACAACTCACCACCATGTTCAGAGGGAGCAGGTGGGGACACAGAAGCAGGAGCGCAGGGTGGACAGAAAAGGAGGCTTTTAAGTATCACGAGATAAGAGAAACCCAGACTGACCTTCACTCAGCACGCCCAGTGACACAATCTCGCCCGGCGGGGAGCCGTGGTACCAGTACTTCAGCGTGGTGGCGATGCTGTGTGCGGTTAACATGCCTCTAAGTTGCTGTCCCGTGGCCGTCAGCTTTCTCAGAGTTGTCACAAATTCTCCGTTCACCCACTCACTACGAGAGAGAAGGAGACAACATTACAAGGGAAGGAGGAATGGAGAAGAAAAAGGGGGGTCCCTGGGCCAAGGGGTCTAAGCACACAGAACCACCGCCCCAAGACAGAAGCGTGACTCCCTGAGCCCCTTCTACAAGTGTCTTTGATCCCATAAGAAGGCAAGTGAACAGTCACGAAATACAGCAGAAAGGGTCCCAAAGTCTCAAACTGAAAACACGACAATACAGACACGGAACACAGAAAAGCGGTCAAAGGCTGCAAGAAGGACGGTCGTTACGAAGAATTTACGTCGAGGCTGTCTTGGAACCAGGGGTATCCTTCATCTAAAACAAGAGTCTCATAAGATGTTGAGTGAGTCACACTGAGAACTGGGGAAATAACCATCAGAAGTTCAGACTCCCCAGGGTCCCGCTGGACGAGAACAGTGTTAAACGGCTGCCCCGCTGAGCCAGCGCCGTGGCTCCACGAGACCCGGCCCCACCAGGTGGGGACACAGAACAGCCGCACCCCACGAGGGTGGTTGGGGACACACACCATCGAGGCTGGATGAAGCTCCTGAGGTCCGAGGAAGTGCAGGAAAGAAGGGGCACGGGAAGATGCTACAACCAGGAAAGAGCCGCGGAGTCAGAAAGAAGCCTTAAAGGCTGCCCCCTCCTCCTCCCCGCCCGTCAGGTAGGGGCTGAGCGTTTGCTGTACGATCCATTTACTCATCCCAGTAAGGCCCACACTGCTACCACCTCCTCTTTTCAGATAACAAGCTGAGGCACAGAGAGGTTAAGGAACTTCTCTACAGTCACACAGCCAGTATGTGGCTCCAGGAGAACTCTGGCCTGGGTGGCTGGTGCCAGACACTGCTCCCCACGGCTGCTGCTACCCGTCCTGGGACAGGACACCCGGCACGGCCGGGCTGCTCACAATCACACCTCCTTCTTCTCAAAGATGTTTCCACTGATTTCAACTTGGAGACTCATCTCTGTCTTCGCAGTAAGATTCACCCTACATGTGCTTGTGTTAGAGATAGCTTTAACGGAACAGGGGAGCCACTTCAAGGAGGAGCTGAACATAAAGATTCGCAACTTCAAAATCAAATAAACTGGGGGTGGGGATTGGCTACCCGAAATTCTATGGAATTTTCTGTTTCTTCAATAAAGACATAGACAAAGATGAGTGTCAACAACGACAAGTTATTTTTTGTGTGTGTGTGAAGAAGATAGTTGCTGAGCTGACATCTGTGCCATCCTCGTCTATTTTATGCGGGACGCCACCACAGCGTGGCTTGATGAGCGGTGCTAGGTCTGTGCCCGGGATCTGAACCTGCAAACCCAGGCTGCTGAAGGGGAGCACGTCAACTTAACCACTGCGCCACCAGGCCGGCCCTGACAAGTATTTTTGCACAAAGATTTCTAAGATGACTTAAAAGACTATAGCAACTGTTACACATCTATTCAACATTGTTAGCATACTTCACTTAAAAATATACAGTACCTATCAAAAATCAAGCTCAAGACGGGGCGTGAGAAGTATGGAGGGCCCCAAATAGCACTCTCATATCTGTAAACCTTGGCTTTTCTCAGATCAACGTAGTTGTTTCCACTGATATTCCCCCAAATGATCACATCTTTGATGGCTGTGAAGAAAAGAAATAGAACGTCAGCACAATGAGAAACGCTAAGATAAAAGGCCGCTGCAGCCGGCTTCCTGCCTGTGCTTTAGGGCTAGCCCCGCTGCTGCAAAACAGACCTGAGTCTATGCCCTAAAAACCAGAGCACAATGGGATCGTCTCCCTCCTCCTCAGGGTCCGTGGGCCCCTGACGGCGCCCCGTGAGTATGGGCACACGACAGAATTCGAGGAATGCTGAAATGCCCCCGAAAGAAGCCACAGTGACGGTGACCCCGCTGTGCTGGTCCCAATGCCGCTGCTCTGCCCGCCACAGAGAAAGCATTTCATCTGCTCCCATTCTGACCAGGAGTCTTTCATTCTGGACTGGAACAGAAATTCGGGCAAATCGCTGAACTCCCCGGGGTCGGCCGTGTTTCCTGCAGAATGAGGAGTCTTAACAAGAGGACCTGAGGGACACCTTACTCGACAAACAGCTACCAAATCAGCTTCTGCACGGGGGCGCCCTCAGGGGCTGTGCTCAGGAGGACACGACCAGCCCGATCCCCTCCTCGAGACAGCCTGGGGACGGGGGAGAGCAGGAGGAAATCACCACTGTGCCAAGCGATGCTTGTCTCAGAGAAAAATAACGGGGGGCTGGGGGGCACGGAGAGAAAGAGGGATTGGTACTCAATAATTTTATAATTGTGGATTTTCTAGGAATATTAAATCCAAAGTGAAAATAAGTAATTTCATTGATATATTTATTAACTTATTTACTTGCTTAAAAATTTAATTCCCTTATAAGGCCACACCACTTCCTACCATGAAGATTAAACTCTTTCCTGTTCTCCTGTATGAGGTAAGATGGCCGTTGGCTTCGAGTAACAGAGCATCCTGCTGACCTGGCTCAGGTAGAAGGCGTTTACTCTTCTCGGGTAACAGAGAGTCAAGCTGGGCAATGATACCAGTGCTTGTTCAGCAGCTCAAAGCTGTCAGTCTCCTTACTTTCCCCTCGTGGTCTTAAAATGGCTGCAACAGTGCCAAGTATCACGCTCTCACCGTTGTGTTCAAAGGCAGGCAGCAGGGAAAAGAATGGGACCGAGGTCTCCTCCTTTGCTTTTTCTCTTTTCAGAGAGTGGAATAACTTTCCAACCTGCTTCACGAAGCCTATGTCACTGGGGCACTCCCAGCTGCAAGAGGAGCTGAGAACACGAGTGTCTTTCTGAAGCTCTCCGGAGAGGCAGGCTGGGGAGAAGGTGGTGGGAAACGGGTCTTGGGTGGTCAGCTCCCAGCGTCCACCACCCTCCTGAGAGTCCGTCTCATAAAATGACTCACGAAGAAGGAGAGCCATGACGTGCACACGGGCCCTCTGTTGGCTGTGCGCTGTGGGAGGGAAGGGAAGGCGGTGGTCCAGTTTGGAGCTCTCGGGATCCCACAGGGGGAAAATACTCCTCCGTCCCCAAGTCAACATATGGCAGGCTTTTTCCTAAAGTCTAAGGAAGGTTTCAATCTCACTGGGTCTCATGTTTCTTTTCAGCTTTAAATGCCCTAAATTATGCTGGAGAAAATTATGGTGGATGTCTGCTGTCTTTTCCTTCTGGCGCCTCTTCCTATTTTTTTCTTTTAACAGCATCCTGGTTTTTCTTTAAATAACTACTGTTCCCCAATTTCAGTCCCTGTGGTTTGGGGGGGCTGTCCTCACCCCTCCAGTCCATCAATAGGCATGAGACCCACATTCCAGATTCCTGCCACAATGACTCATTTGGAGATCACGGGTTCAAGCCAGCCGAGGAGACTATCCTGCCACTTTTGTACAAAGAATGCAGAGAGAGCCCTCTTTCTACTAGGGTAGCGGAGCCACAAACGTGGGAGTCTGGGGGTGCCAGTGACCATCTTGCCTGCCCGATAATCTAACCACTGTTGAGGAAAGCAGAGCTGAGCGACAGGCCGAGAGCACAGCCAGGCCTGACGTCACTGGGCCCCAGCGCCCAGCTAGGCCTGAGACAAGGACTGCCTCCTGCACTCTCCAGTTACGTGACAGAAATCTCCGTCTGACTTTAATCACTTTGAGTGGACTTTCTGTCACTTGCAACAGCCAGAGTCCCAGCTAAGCCAACACACACGTTCTGAAAAAGAGGGTTATGTGTGCACCGAATGCAGGCGATATCCTGAAAAGGCCTGCTGCCCTCCTGGCATCTGGCATTCTCCCCGGCGATTCTCTTGATGGCTGTTCCATTCCTCGTCGTTTTCTCAGCCCTGTCTTTGCAGTTCCCGAGCTTCTCCCTGGGACCCCAGCGACAGTTCTACTTTGACTACTGTCCCTCCAATGTCTCCCTTTCCTTTTCCCGACTTTTCTGCATTTTTCTTTTTCCTGCTTCTCATGCTTATTGGCTTTGAGTCCAGCAGGGCCTAGAATTTAGGGCCCCATCAGACCCACAAGAGAGCAGCTGTCCGGTTGAAAGCCCTGCACCCACCTTGTTTTAAATTCTGTAACAGCCTCTTCTTGACACTTTCGTAAGCATATCCTAGATCTTTTGTGATAAATCAGTGTCGACGCATATACATATAAGGTTGATAACAGAGATAAAATGGTTAGAAGATGTTTTCCTTCCCTATCGACTAAGTTTAGTATCAATTTGGCTAAGGTATGACTGACCCTGGGGTCAGACACTAAAGATCTGTAGGCAAGACCACCAGAAGTTGGTTCCAGAGCTTCCCTGTGAAGAAATGGATACGACAGCTCTTGCTACATGGTGTTAGGGCTCACTGAAGTCCTTGACAGCCCCGATTCAGAGCATCCTAGGCTCACACTTCACTGTCCTCTCAACTCTTCTTGAGGTGGTGCCGTCCACATCCTCGCATTCTCAGTGGACGCTGCACCTGCTCCCTCCAGGGCACAAATAGCTAAACTTTGTCAGATGTGAGAAATATTTTTAGATACAACACTCCCTTTTTAGCTACAACAGTCCATTCTCTGATCCAGTCTCATCCTCAGGCGACTCTGACGTCTACCAGCTCCAAGATCAACAGGAGCAGAAACAGCTCTGACACCATAAGCCCACGTGCAAGCTCAACATCCTTGTGAATGTCCACACGTGCCAGGTGCTCTTCTAAGCACTTTAGAAATATTATCTCACGAATCTTCACATCAGTTCTAGGAGGCAGGTGCTATTAGCATCCTCATCTTACAGAGGAGGAAACTGAGGCACAGCAAGGGTAAGTGACTGCCCGAGGTCACACAGCTGCGACATGGGGTGGAGCCACTTTAACACAGTCCTGATTATCTTTTTAAAGATACTGATTACCTTAGTTGACTAGTATCACGAAAAAAGGGGAATATTAGGTTTCAAATTATTACTTGAAAAATATAAACCTTATTCCATTCAATATTTGTTTATTCATTTTTATAATGATGGATAAAGTCAGATAGTCATGAAAGCAAGTAGCAAAAAAACGTGTTTGCAGAGCAGTCAAATCACACAATGAGAAGTCCCTTGCACCTGCTTCATACTTTCTATTCCGCATCTCCGGAACAATCCTAGAGGGGACAGCGTTCTTCCTCGCTGCTTGGAAATCCCACTATTGAGAAAGAGAAGCGGAAACAGACACGGGGGCTCACTCACATGCAGGCGTGGTCCTCAGCTTCCTGGCCAGCGCAGCTCTGGCCTGGCCCTCCACCCCCAGCGCCACGGCGACAATGTTGTGTGCGATGCTTGGGGCGTATCTCATCAGCAACACCGTTTTAAGATTCACGAAGGTCTTTCCGCCCACGATAACTCGGACGGAGTCATGGGCGTTCTTCTCGATCAGGTACCCATAGAGCCGACAGAGTGGGACCCTGCTCCGGATGCACTCTTCCAGAGTGTACACCTCCTTGTCGGTGCTGTCGTCCAGGACGATGACCACGTGGGCCTGGCGGAAGGCCTCCTGCACTCTGGTGCAGACGGAGATGCTCCGGAGGAAGGGCGACACCAGGTCGTGAGTCTCCGACGCGAGGATGTGGAGCTTTTCTTCTGCATCTTTACTGTCAAATAGCACTATGCTAAGTTCCGTTTGTGTTCCAAACACTTCACCGCTGGTCAAGATGGGGATCAGGTTGTAGCAGGCAGGAGCAGATGCACTAATAAAAATGCAAAGCCAGAGGATGAACAGTTAAATCTTTTGCCCCTTTTAAGCCTTTAATCATTTTTTTAAAATTTTTAAATTAAAAAAATTTCTTTCTGTGTTTTCTCCCCAAATCCCTCAGTACATAGTTGTGCATTATAGTTGTGAGTCCTAGTTGTGGCATGTGGGACGCTGCCTCAGCGTGGCTTAATGAGCAGTGCCATGTCGGCGCCCAGGATCCGAAGTGGTGAAACCCTGGGCCGCTGAAGCGGAGCACATGAACTTAACCACTCAGCCACGGGGCCGGCCACTAAGCCTTTAATTAATGGATATTTCTGCATGTGCATTAATAGGGTGACTAACATCTTAGGCATACACAGCTGCTTAGACAGGCTAGAAATAAAAAATAGAACAAAAAAATTCTCACTAGTAACCCCTTGCTCTGGTCATCTGAAATCAATCCCCAAATAAGAACTGTACCTGTTTACAAGGCTTTTCACATAAAAAAGAACATGCAGAAAGCAAAATTTAAAAGAACTGTACCATATTACTCTAATTACATGTTTAGATTTCCTCCTCAAAAGATAAAGAAATGACAAATTTCATTTAATCATAGCTCTCTTCTATTTTATACCCTGATCTGTGAAGTCACGACAGTTTCTGGCAAGGACTGTCTTCCTCACAAAGCCGAGGATCAACACAGGCTGCTATCGGTATCGGGTGTCTGTGCCCACAACGCAGCCAGGAGCTGAGGACCCTAGAGCTGGGCCATCAACCAGGAGCTGTACTGACCCCTGAGGGCAGCTCCGAAATGCATCTGGGCGTTTTCCGTTTTCCCCATGGGTCTGGGGAGGCTCGCAATGGGGCCTTCAACAGAGTCTGTACCATTTTAATCCTTACAAAAATATCTAAAGCAGATGTAATGTTTATTAAATCTAGCTGGTGTTAGGTTCATATATGTTTATTACATCATTCTCAACTCCTTTCTGTGTTTGAAATATGCATTTATAACAAACAATTTTTCCAATAAGTGTCTATATTAGGTTATGTGCACGGGTAGTGAGAAGGGGAGGGGAGAGAGATGCAGGGGTGGGGAGAAGAAAGGGAGGGAGAGAGACAAGGAGAGGGATAGAGCGCAGAGACAGGGAGAGAGAGCAACCACAAACACGGCCAATGAGAAAGATGGAGAGCAACAAGGAGCAGGAGTGAGGGGAAGACGAGCAAGGAGGAGGAGTGAGGGGAGGAAGAGCGAGGAGGAGGAGTGAGGGGAGGAAGAGCGAGGAGGAGGAGTGAGGGGAGGAAGAGCAAGGAGGAGGAGTGAGGGGAGGAAGAGCGAGGAGGAGGAGTGAGGGGAAGACGAGCAAGGAGGAGGAGTGAGGGGAGGAAGAGCGAGGAGGAGGAGTGAGGGGAGGAAGAGCAAGCAGGAGCAGGAGTGAGGGGAGGAAGAGCAAGCAGGAGCAGGAGTGAGGGGACAGGACCACAGAGAATGAGCATGGTAGGAAGAGCCGAGGACGAGAAAGAGGCAGAGGCTGGGAGAAGGCCTGCTCTGGAAGGCGAGGGAGGGAGAGGACAACAGTCAGTGACCTGAGTGGTGGGGAGGAGAAGTAAGCCAGTGGTGGGGAGGAGGAAAGCAGAGCAAGAGCAGGAAGTAGAGCAGCAGACAGCAAGAGAGACCCAGACGAGGGGCGCAGAGCTTGTCAGACTTGCCAAAGTAAGTATCTTTGCTGTAAAGGTGCTCATTTACACACATACATACTAAATCTACGTATGCTCTAAGTCTCATTCACGGGCTGCAGTGGGGGATATATGTGCATCTCTGCTTATCTCCATGTATCTATACATATACCTATACATACACATCTCGCCCTTGACTTTCAAATATTCTTCTATCATGGCACTAACCCCACATCGTTGTCCTTTCTCAATGAAAGAAGAAATTCTCACAGTTCTGGGGTGACTGTCCCACCTGGTGATCCAGACCTGCAAGGGGCTGAGGAGGCCTTTCAGGGACTCTCCCTCCAGCTCCTTCTCTACGTGTGTCTCCAGGTTCTCCTGGGCAATCGTCTTCATCAGCTCGGTCGTCATGCTGGAGGTGACGCTGTAGTAAAGCTAAATGTTGGGGAAGAAAAAGTCAACTTGAGAGAACAGATGATTAGCTGACAACGGCTACAATGGAAAGTTCTTGTTTAAAGCCAGAATAGAAGGAAAAGAGAGCTGAGAACACTTTAGAAAGCAAGACATTTGAAAAAGAAAATAATGTGAGAGAATGACGATGCTCTGAGGAGGTAACTAAACTCAGTTCACATACCTGGGCGTGCTCCAGGAACTCGTTATAGCCCCCCAAAAGCATGCCCTTTCCTCCGCGGTCCAGCAGCTCTCTCCAGATGATGGGGGACGTTGTGTGACTCCACTTATTCTTTTCACACAAATGTTCCAGCCACTCCTATGGAACGATATTCCAAGAGAAGTCACACACTGAATCTGCCTCGAAATTCAATACTTTAGAATTCGAACACTAAGCAGCTTGTTTCTACCACCACCATGTATACCTAGTAAAATTTACATATCTTTAAGCCATAAAATGTAAATATAGAAAATGGCAACAAGTTAACTAAGAAACTCATCAAATAAGAAAGAAGATTCTCCAAATTCGTTGGCCAAACACAGGTATTGGAAGCTGCTCTCTTTGCTGAGGAGGCCTGGCACGTAAGTGGTTAGCTTAAAGAGAAGCCAGGTCTCCCAATTCAACCGACTCCAAAGCATTTCAGCTGATTTTCCCCTTGTTCTTCCCTAGGAGATCCTTCCAGCCACAGGGCTATACTGGCAACAGTTGTTAGCTCAGGCGCCAACCTTTAAAAAAAAAAAATTATCACCTGGTTTGTGCAGACCCAGCCCTCCAACGACAAGAGCCGAGTAGAGACAGAGAGCAACACTCTTAGGTCAAGTAGCTGACTGCACTCTTGTCTTTGGAGACACACAGAAGGGGCTACCTTACAAATAAACTCTCAGAGACAAACTCCCCTTGCTGATGTTGAAGGCTCCTTGCTTTTATCCCAACTTAAAGCAGACAGTGCTGCTGGGAGGGTCCCACCATTGTCCCTCTGGTCACAACACAGCCTGACCAGTGAAGTGCTGGAGGAAGATGCTCCACCCCAAAGGACCTACAGCCCCAGCAGGGTGTGCAGATGGCCTGGCAGGAGCTGGGGGAGGATGTAGAGGACCGGACGCGAGGGGGCTGAATCAAGAGTGGACATAAAGCTGGACAAAGGAGAATTTATCAGTATGAATCACTCTTCTGCAATTCAAGAGTGATTACCCTGGCAAGGCCCTCAGAAGAGAGTGGTAACACCTGCTCAGATGGTTGTCCGGAGCTTGGAGAAAGTGACAGCTCACAGGAACTGAAACAGAAATGCCCGGACTGCCATGGAAGACAGTGCAGGAAGGGATCAAAAAGCTTAGAGAAACGGGCATGCTCCAGTGGACATGCTCCCACGGATGGCTGGAAACCTGCTGGTCACCTGTGTTCTCCAGAAGGGCTTGGAAGACAGTGCACTCACTCGAGGGATCAGGAACTCATGGGTGAGAAGCCTGGCATGGCTGCCCATTCTAGGCCAGAGCTGACGCAGAGCTGACGCCCTGGCAGCTGGGATGATAGAATCTTGAAATAGAGGCCGGGGGCAGTGGCCACCAGAGAACATCTACTGTGAAAGAAGCACTCAGCAACCCAGCAGTAAGAAAACTGAGACAGCTGGAGGCACAAGGGGGTCACCAAAGAGACAGGTTCTGCTCCTAAAGCAGGAGCGACCACTCACAAAGCTGATTTGGTCACTGCAGCCGCTAGGCCGACAATGTGCTGGCAACAGAGACCAATGCTGACCCCTGATAAGGGCAATATGCCTCTTGGTACAAGTTGATGACACTGGCCCCCTCCCCCTGGAAAGGGCAGTGATCATCCTGATCAAGTCAGCACAGATTCTGGTGAAGAACGGCCCCTCCCGTTTGTAGGGCTTTGGCCAACACCTTGTCCAGAGCTCATAAAAAGTCTAACTCACCAACAGGGGGTCCTGCATGTCATCACTTTGAACCAAGAGACCCCCTGTAGGGTAAAGGAGGCAAAGCACTGGGCATGTAACCATGGGATCCACCAGCCCAATCACATATGGCACCACCAGCAGCCTGGTAGAGGGATGGAACGACCCACTGAAGGTGAAGGTGCAGCCACGAGCTGGGAGACGGACACCTTGTGAGGATGGGGCACCACCTTTCAGGATGCAGTATACACCATAAGTGAACAGAGGGTTTTGCCCTTTATAGGTAGAATACGTGAATCCAGGAACTGAGGGTGGAATTAAGAGTGACCCTGCTTACCACCACTTGCAGTGAGCATGTGGGGAATTTGTGCTTCCAAAACCCCTTCACCCTAGACTCTGTGGGCTGGAGTTGCCAAATCCCAGGGTGGGGGTGCTTTTACTAGGAAGAGGCCCATTAAACTTTAAGCTATGGCTGTCACTTGACCACTGTGAGCTCCTGTGCCAGGAGACCAGCAGCAGGCCAGGAGTTAACATCTTGGAGGGGTCATTGGCCCAAGAGAGCAGCAGCATTGGGGCAGCTACTCCCCACTGAGGGCAGGAAGGAATGCTCGGCATCTAGGTGATGCACTGGGGCATCTTTGGTAGTGCTTTGCTCACTTTTGACAGTTAATGGACAAGTGCAGCAGTCACATCCTGAAAAGGGAGTAGCGACTGGGGCTCAAGACCCTGAAGGATACCGGCGTAGGTCACCACCAGCAGGGGGTGAGGGAATCCAAAATGGACAGCAGAGAGGTGAGGACTGTCACCAGTGGCCCTGAAACGATGGGCAGTGGAGATGATAGCTCATTGACCAAGCTTCCTCTTGCAAAGTTTCCCGAGGAAGAGATGCCACTCAGAATCCTGGAAGAGCTGCCCCAGGTGGTGTAGACTTAAGATAGGAGTGTGTGGATCTAAAAGGCACAGCTGTGGACTGTAGCGGGTCCTGGCATACTGTCCACATCCCCCTTCATGACCAAGGCACTGTTCCCTCCACCACCAGGGGAAGTGGCTGCTGCTGGCTCTGAGCCGAGTCTCCCTCCAGGACTGCCCTCAGCCACCGGAGGTTCCCTCACCCAAGGTTAAGGCGCTTCCCCGGGGCAGCCCGCACCTGATGACTGTGAGCTGTGGGAGGACAGGGCCAGCCCCCTTGCCTGCACTTGGGGCACCTCTGAAGGGCCATCCCAGCTTCAGAGCTCCCTGCAGGGCCCACTCGGCCCTCACTGCCCCTGTGAAGGCGGGGGCGGGGGGGGGGGGGTTCAACTTCCCCCGCTGCCCGATCCTGCTGCCCTCGCCCTTCTCAGGACGATGCTCCCCAGCGCACTTCCCAGCGAAGGAAACTCCTTCCCCAAAGCTCCACCTCAGTCTGTTTCCGGGGAAACACACTCCCCAAGGAGGACCTTCCAAATAAACAGGTCCCTCACGTCACTAGAAGTCAATATGGGGGTGGATGAAGCTAGAGTGCAATCTAAGCTACCTGGATCTTGGGGAAAAACAGCCAAATTATTCTCTTGTTAGGGCCTCATTCGTTCTACTAGGTATCAGGAAAAAACAGATAAATGTTTTAAGACGGATAAGTAGGGATTTATTTTACTGGTATTAAAATGTCATTTGTAGGGGCTGGCCCAGTGGCATAGTGGTTAAGATCGCACGCTCTGCTTTGGTACCCTAGGGTTCGTGGGTTTGGATCCCGGCTGCAGATCTACGCACTGCTTATCAAGCTGTACCGTGGCAGGTCTCCCACATATAAAGCAGAGGAAGAGGGGCACAGATGTCAGCTCAGGGCCAGTCCTCCTCACACACACACACGAAAGTCACCTGTACATGAACATTCATTACTGGAAGCCTTCTGATAGAACAGCTAATATTTAATCAAATTAGAACACGTTTTTGTGCGCGTGTGAGTTTAACGAACTGTAAAGGCTCCTTACCTCCCAAACATGAGGATGCTGTGTAATTTTATGTATCCGAAAATCAGGAAGGTTCTTTTGTAAATAGTCTGCCAGAAGTTCTGCTTTAGCATAATATGGGCAATCTGCTCTACCTAAAAGAGTTCAAATTAACAATGATTTCTTTCATCACACAGAAATTATCATGGAGTTATAAGTATTTGCCATATAATTACAAAATTAATCACACAGTTGTATTTTATAACATACAGGTGTGGTATAAACTGTGACCACATAAACTTTTGATTTTTATTATATTGGTAAAAATAAAACAAATTTCACAGCAGGTCAGAATCTTAAGTAATAAAATGTGGAAAGAAAGACTATTGACTACTTACTCACCTCCAGCACTATGCTGGACCTCACCTCCTCTAGGGGGCTGCCACACTACTGAGGGAGCCTGAACCACGTCACCAGAAGCCACCCAAGGGCAGGTGGGACGTGAGCGGTGGTGGTAAAATCACGTGTGGATCTGACACGTGTGGATCTGACACGTGTGCAGGGAGTACGGGGGAAGGAGAAGTCGGGGGAGAGAGAGGAGTCCGGGATAACTTCTCTCCCCCGGCTTGGGTAGGTGATCCTGGCCCTACCAGGGAGAAACGGGGTGAGAAGTTTAATTGCAGGCAAGCACAGCCGGAGGTGTCTGCAGCACATCTCCATGGCTACGGCCAGCAGGCAGCCGCACCTGTAAGTGTGACGTGCAGGCCCCACGAAAGGGTGTCAGATGCAGACCGGGCAGCCACCTCCACCCGGGAGTCAGAGCCACCAGGTGGATGGGCCCGGGGTCCACCTGAGCAGGAGGGCGGGCCGAGTGTAGAGGCCTCCACAGCAGTCCTGCCAGTTACTCCGTCACCAGCTCTCCAACCTCAGCCCCCGTCCAGTGCAAATCCATGGGTCATGAATTCAGACCACTCTCTGGCTCACGTCTTAAATGATCTCGCCCCACTGTGCTTCTGGCAAACCAGCCTAAAAGCCTCTCACCCTGGGTGGACCCAATTACCTCCCTTTTCTGTGCCTGGGTTCCCTCTGCTGGGCACCCCTGGAGAAACACGGCAGAACCAAGCAGGGAGGCGACATCGTAAATTCGTGGTCACCAGCCACAAGCGGCCCTCAGCGCTGCCTGGAGACCCCTGCTCCCTCAGCAGCCCTCTCCTCTGCTCTCCACGTACACTGTTTCAAACTTCGTCCACTTCCTTCAAAACTCTTCCTTCTCTCCAATATTTTTCCCTACTATCAGAAGACAATAGACAACTTTGCTTCCTACTTTATAAAAACTAAACCAAATCACACAAAAAGGCATCAGTTGGGAAATCCGCCAACCTCCTGCCATCACACCTACAAGCCTGTCTGCATTGGGACTCATCTTTCCTCTTTCTCCTCTTCAGTGGAAGAGGGATCCCTGCTCCCATCCAGGCATAAGTTCACCACCTACACTCTGAATACCTTTGTCTTCAGCCTTCAGAACTGCCACCAACTCAGCTCAGTTGGTCATCCTCTCTTTCCAGCATCTTCTCTCTGTTTCTAATGGCCCTTTTCCATCATAGGGAAATATACTTGAGTTGCGTTTAAGTTTTTCCTGTTCTCCTGCCCCCCTCTAGCCATTGCCTCCCACCTGCCCTTTCTATTAGAGCTTGAAAGCATTCTTTGCATCTGCCATCCCCAGTTCATCGTCCCACTGCAATCTGGCTTTCCCTGCGATTCTCTAGGAGGTCAGCAAGGACCTCCATGTCACTAAATCCAACGGGCACTTTCTGACCCTTTTCTTGTCGACCCTGGCAGCATTTGTTTCCCTTCCTCCCTTTTGAAACACCCACTGTGGTGGGAGGATTCCTCGGCTTTTCCTCCTTCTCTGCCACTCCTCACTATACTCTACAGGTTCCTATTCCTTTATCAATCCATTAAAAAGTTAGCATTCTGCAAGGCATCTCATCTTTATACCCTACATATTCTTCCTGGCCAGTCCCCTCCACTCCCTTGATTTCCAGTAGCAATCTGTATCTGAGTTCAGACCTAACTCCTTATCTAGATGTCTACACCCTCCTGTAGTTTTTCATTTCCTTCTGAATCTCACAGGCACTCAGCACGTCTGTTGCCATCACTCCCCCACTAGATCCCCTCCTTCTCTTATGCTCTTTATGTCTATCTAGCCAGTTATCTAAGAGTGTTAACAGTATCCAGAGTACTAAGTCTACTCTTTTGCTTTTCTTTTGGTGAGGAAGATTGTTGCTGAGCTAACATCTGTGCCAATCTTCCTCTATTTTGTATGTGAGATGCTGCCACAGCCTGGCTTGGTGAGCAGTGTGTAGGTCCATGCATGGGAACTGAACCTGCGAACCCTGGGCCACCACAGTGAAGCGCGCGAACCTAATCACTATGCACCTGGGCTGGCCTCCTACTCTTCTGCTTTATTTCAGTGACTCCTCATCCACCCAGTTATCCAAATCATTGCTTGGGAATAATTTTAACTCTTTCTTCTCCCTTACTTGCATTCCTCTACTGAATTAGACATCTAATTCTACAGATTCTGTCTCCCTAATGTCTCTCTAGTCCACTCACTTCTTTCCCTTTTCATTGCCTACCATCCTAGGCCAGGCCACCATTCTCTCCTTCCTGGCCTATAGCACCTAACAAGGCTTGCGGCATCCAGTCTCTCTTCCCACAGTGCAGAGATAACACCCAGATAAAATGCAAATTTGACTATGTTCTCCCTTTCCAAATACCTGCCAGTACTTTGGATAAAGTTGAAAATGTGAACACGGCTCACCAGAATCTACATTATGTGACTCTGGCCTCAGCCTATGACACGCTCTCCCTTGGACTCTTTGCTCCAATCCTGCTAAATCTATTTCAGTTTTCTCCTTATTGTATACTCTCAATCACCACCAAACCAGCTCTCCTCATGGCACCCCCACTCCCACTACACATGCCTATGTTACTCTCCTGCTCCCCACCTCCTCTCTACTAGGTAACTCTTTCTCATCTTTCAGGTCTCTGCTTAAACCTCGCTCCCTCTGGGAAGCCCTAGCCTGACTAAATAAGGTTCCCTGCCACTGCTCCTCTGGAACACTGCCCCACCACTGCCACAAACGCAACATCCTGTTTAAGTTTGTTTACCACTGTCTTCTCAGCATACAGTCAGAGCTCAAAAATATCCTTCTGAACGAATAAAGAAGCAAAGGAAATAGACCTTCGGGCAGATGGGAGATGTCAATTGTGTTAATGCATCAGAGGTCAAAAAGACAACGACTGAACAGCTTCTGGAAGTCACTGATGACTTTGGTGAGGGCTGAAGCCAGACTGAGGGGAAGGAGGACCTGGAGACAGAAGAGCAGCCTAGTCTTTCAAGAAACTTGTTCAGAAGGGAAGGAGGTAGGCACAATACACAGCCTATTGCAGCAAAAGCCTCATCAGTGGTTTTCTGGATGCTGGTCGGCATTTCCAACCCTTCCACTCCATTGCCGACAGGGTGGGCTTCCTAAAAAGCAAAGTCATTAAGGATACTCTTCTGCTTAGAAATTGTCAACGACTCCTCATTGCTTTCAAGACACAGTTCAGCCCCTTTGCTTGGTGTCCTTGCGGGGCAAGGATCCGGCTCGGGCTCCCGGTCCAGGCCTAGGTCCAGTCACTTCCCCGCTGGGCCAGGAGACTTCCAGGCTCCGTGCCTTTAGCTGGAACGGCCTCCCTGTCCCAGACCTTCACAGATCGGCCCCTGAGCGCCTCCCGGAGGCCCGCGCACGCCTCCCTCACTGCACTGGCCACAGTGGAGCACAACTGCTTGTTTACGGGGTCCTGCCCCGCCGAGACCGGCGCCCCCGGAGGGCAGGGACGTCGCTCCCACCCGTGCCCCGTGTCCGCAGCCTCGCACGCGGTCACTGCCCAGCAGATATCTCGGCGAGCCCGGCGCGGCCTACGCAGGGCCCGGGGCCGCCAGGACAGGACCCGGCGGGCAGCCGGCGGCCACTCACCAGCGAGCACGAACTTGGCCATGAGGACGCCGCGCCCGGTTTCCAGGCAACGCGGCCGCCGAGGCCGCGCAGGCGCACTGAGGCTGAGCGGGGCCGACGCCCGGGAGCGGGGGGCGGGGGCGGGAGTGTAGGGGTCCACCATCAAACGTTGCCTTTAAAACCTCTCCGGTCTGCCCGGTTCCTAGCCCCGCGACAAAGACGACTAGTCGTCCTCTTAGGCGAGCTCTCTTGCCTCCGAGTGAACCGTTCTCCGCCCGCCGCGAACGTACACTTTTTGACCTAGGAAGGACCCGTACGATCTCGCGATGTGCGCAGCCGCAGGGGCGCTGTCATGGCGGCGCCTGCCCAGACGCGCGGGGCCCGAGCCGAGGTGAGTGGAGGGCGGGCGCGGGCAGTGCTGCCCCTTGGCCGTCCTTCCTTTGGGAGGACGGTCTCGGGAGTTGCCCGGCATTCGTTTAGGGCGGAGGCTCAGTCGCGGGAAGGACGGGCGCCTCGCTGGCCGGGCCCCGGGGCGCGGGCCGGCCGTGTGTCCCTCCCGGCGCGGCGCGGCTGGAGCCTGCCGCCTTCTCTCCGGAGCCGGGCTGCTGGCCCGGGCCCTGTTCCTCGTCGTCCGGGCTCGGCCGTGGCCGAATCCTCGTGTGAGAGTCTCCATCAACGCTAGACCCTTGTTTTTCCTTGACCGCGTCTCCGAGGCTGCGCTAAAGTCCCCTCTGCGGAGGAGGCGTTGAGGGGACACTTTTCAACCCCAAATACCCTTCATTTCTTTTCTTTAAGTTCATTTGTGCGACGACGGCTCCCGACGTAACCTGCCCGGTTAGGGCGGTGCGCGCGCTGGTCGAGGTGGGGGACGCCCGTGTTGGCACAGTAGGTTCACCTGTTTAATGTAAATCTTTAATGTGTCCTTAGGGTCCCGCTTTAGTCTCCATTAAATGCATTTCGTTTCTTTAAGTAACAGTTTTGCTTTAATTTTTATTCTTCTCGTGACCCCTTCTCCCGCAGGAAAAGGACGGCCTGTGCTCTCTTGCTCTAGTGGAGGCGACGTTTGTGTCACATTGACGACTTTAAAGCCACTTGACAGTGTTTCAGTGGATAGCAAAATGAGTAACAGAACAGGCCCTTTTTTATGGAACCTAAGACAATTCAGTACTTTAATCCCAACGAGCAGAACTGTGAGGCAATATCCTTTGGGACTTTGCAGACCACAAATGGCTTATTCTAACTGGAACCCAAGGAACCTTCTCTTAAATAACTTTGATAATAGACTGCAAGCACCTGTTAGATGTCTCTTTCAGAATGCCTTAGTTTTTAAATCAGGAGATGACTTTCAAACAAAGGGCACGAGCAGTGTGACAGTCCTTACACTTGACAGACTACTTTGTCCTAGGGGACTGTCCTTTGACTCAAAACACTCTCTCATCTCTGATAATGGATTGAAGAAGATAAGCTTTCATCAGGAGGCCTCCAGTGAAGATGTTCTCACCAAGGAAACAAAGCCAACCCCTGTCACCTCTAGAAAACTGTCTCAGGAGTGTAATTCCCTGAGTGATGTGTTGGACACGTTTTCACGAGCCCCTAAATTTCCTAGCAGTAACTATTTCTCAGCCATGTGGACAATTGCCAAAAGGATGTCCAATGAGCAGAGGCGCTTTGAAAAACAGCTGATGTTTAACCACCCTGCGTTTCACCAGCTGTGTGGACAAATGATGAGAGAGGCCAAGATCATGCGCTGTGACCACCTGCTGTTCGGTCTTCATGCTGTGGTGAAGCTTGGAATTCCTCAGAACACTCTGCTGGTGCAGACTTTGCTGAGGGTGGTCCAGGTAAAATCACAAGGAGGCCTAGCATCCTTTTACCTGGTTTGGCGTAGCGTGTTTTGAAAGAATGAGGTGAGAGAGAGATGTGGCCTCCTTGGAAGAGACTCTCAGTGGAATGGTGGTTCCTGTGTATTTGTTTCTGCATGTATACGATTTGGAGACCCTGAGTGAGCTAGGTCATTCCTTCCTTTTGCAGTGGAAATTTATGAAAGCTTGCCCCATTTTTCTTCTCCAGAGTTGAAAATAGTGAGTAATAAGCTAACATGAGAGACAAAATGTAGAAGGAAAGGTTCTGTAGTTGAAGGAAGGAGAGAAAGGAAGGGAAGGGAGCTAATATTTTTTGAGTACCTACACCTTTTACTTGTATAATCTTATTTAATCCTCTCAGCAGCCCTGCAGGCATGATGTTACCTCAGTTTTGCAGATGAGGAAAAGTCTTAGTGATTTTAAGTAACTTGGCTCAAGTCACAGAGCTAGTGGATTCATTTATTCGTGCAATAAACGTTTATTGGGTGTCAACTATGTATCAATTACTGCACTTGTCATTGGGGATATAAAGATGTAGATGATGTGATTCCTGCCCTTATAATCTAGAGGGGGAGGCAGATATTTTGTAGGCAATTAGGAATATAAGCACCTTTCCTTTAATGAGTTACACATTTTCTCTGTTGTAGGCACTGTGCTGAGCACAAGGGAATACAATTGTGACCAAAATAATGACCAGTAGAGCTTGCAGTGCAGTGAAAGAATGATATAGAGTCTTATGAGAGTGTGTAACGGCTTCCAGCCTGGTCAGGAGAAGACCTTTGTGATGGGAAGAGGAGACGGGGGGTAGGATGCAGGGTTAGCATTTGAGGCAGAGATGTACAGAGTTTGAAAACAGAATTGCCTCCTGTAGTCCTCAGTGTAGCCTTTTAAAATAGGTATTGTTATTCTCATCTTACTAATGATTGGGAAATTTAGGCTTAGAGAGGTTCATTAACTTGCCCAAGGTCACATAACTGTAATGTCACTCTTTGTAGGTACTTGATAAATATTTGCTGGGTGAATGAACCAGCGTCTAGTTTGTGGCAGATCTGGGGTTCAAGCCCAGTAGGAGATGGTGTCTAAGCTGAATCCAAGGAAGGACCAGCAGTTTGTGAGAGAATCAGTAGATGGGGGATGGTGTTTCACACAGAGAAGATTGCATGCACATCCCAGAGCAGAAGTTGGCAAGTTTGGGGAGCTGAAAGTAGTTCTTTGTGGCTAAAGCACAGAATGCTGGTTGTGAGTTTGAGGGAGTGGGGAGGAAGTCGCGATGGTGTAGGAGGAGGCCTTTAGGGATGTAGTGGTAAGACGTGGCTGGAAAAAAAGGGGCCCAATCAAAGAGCCTTTTATGCCTGGCGAAGGAGTTTGGATTTATTCTGTCTGCAATGGGAAGCCACTAAAGTATTTTAAGCAAAGGGTCGACATTCTCAAATTTGTGTTTTTAGATTACTGTATGAGTGGAAAATGGATTGGAAGAAGGATGAAATTATTTCAAACAAGAGAGTCAGTGTCCTGTTTGATGTCACTGAAATGACCACAGATGTGATAAGGAAAGTTTAGGTCATTAAAGTAATTATTTACCTTTCAAGAGTGGATACTTCAGACTTATAAACTCGATGATGTCATAATTAAATAATTTTTTAAAAGACAGGAATTTCCTGAGGATGACCTGACATATATGCTGTCCTACTATAGGATTCAAGAATTGAGTTCATAGGTATAAGAGATTATAGCTTTAACTTTTTACATGACTGTGATTTCCATAGGTCCTCAACCAAGAACTGATTTTTATTTTGTGTGTGTGTTTAAGCCACAGAATATCCTTGCTTATTTGGTAGACTGTTTTCCCTACACAATTATTGAAAAGTGAGAATAGTAAGTCACTTTTCCTGGTCAGTGATGCTCTTATAGCTCTTGGACAGGTGTGCACATCAGCACAGCTTCTGCATCGGTGAGGCGTGAGCAGTGGATGTTTGCAGTCAGAATGTCTGTATGTTTGATTGTGTCTCACTGACCTGTTGGAATGTTGTAAGGACACTTCAGCTAGAGAAGAAAGGACAGTGTGGCATCCGTGAATTTGCCGTCCAAACACGTAGCCAAATGGTCTTTCCTTTCACAGCCGATGTTGATGGAATCTTGTAAATTATCCTGCAAACCCTCCCATGGGAATGAGACTTTTTTTCTTCCAGCCTTGTCCATCTCTCATCATTATCTGGTTCTCACTTGAAACTTTGTACCTTGTTGGCCATGTAATTGTAGTAAAGGAACCTTCCTCTTCAGCCTGTTTCCTCAGCTGTGATCACAACTACTCTTGTGATGTGTATAGACTAGTTGTGATTCAATCTTAGAGCACTTGGTAGGCTGCCTAGTTACTATTCACTTTCCAAATTATGCCCACTGCTATTTCTGGAATCTAGGTTAGTACCCTAAGGCAAGGGACCTGGCAGAAGGATCTGGGGCCTGCGGCTCCCCTGGAGTCTCAGATAGTGGTAGTAGAATGTGACAGCACCTGTGGATCAGAAGATTCACAGCTGAAGTTACAGTTTGACCCAAGAAAGGACGCAGGGAAATTACAAGGGCCCAACTGTCCGGGGGTCGTCAGGGCAGGCTGCCCTGTGTGCCTCAGTAACTGTTATATTACTACACTTGTCTTCATGATGACCTTGAACCCTAAGAATAGGTGGATATTATGTTTGATAAAAGTTATCTCAGCAGAGGAGTATAATCAATATCAATGGATTTTCAGTGATAAGGGTGAATGTAAAAAGTGTTGATGCGTAAAAGTGTGCATTGGTTATTTGGAAAATTCACTACACAGGACATTTTGTTTCCCAAAGATGCTGTTTATTGTGGACTGACTGTATGAATTATTGGTTTGGTACTTAATCCTTTAATTGAAAGCCTCGGTTCAGTGGCTTTGCTTGGGTGAGACAGTCTGCTGCGGCTCACCGTCTCTAGTGTTTCTGTAATTATATTTCACTAGGAGCGAATCAATGAGTGTGATGAGAAATGTCTTTCAGTTTTGTCAACCGTTCTAGAGACCATGGAGCCTTGCAAGAACGTGGACGTGCTTCGAGCAGGACTGCGGTGAGAGCTCTCATGTTTGCTTCATTGGCATTCTCTGTCCTCTTACGTCTCAAATCAAAACCCAAGATGAAAGCTGAACTGTTTTTGGGTGGAGGAGACTTTGTTGTTGATTATAATCTTTAATACCTTATTAAACTTAAAATCCTGACTCTGGATTAGGTAAAGCTAGAAATAAGGCTGCTTTTAGGGTCCACTGTAGAAGGCTGTGGGTGATGCTGAAAGCTAAATTGATCTTAATTTCTGATGTGGGCTGGGAGACAACTGACACTGTTCAGTTCATAACCATTATTTGGGCGCTATGTGGAGGTTACATAACACTGGCCCAGCTCGAAAAGTTTTATAATTTATAATTGAGTTATAATTTATGAAACTGATACAACTGTTCTATTAGGTCAGTGAGAATAATCCTTAATTCCCTTTTTCATTGACTGTGCCTTGAGGTGTCTTACTATAACCTCCTGATAGGATTTCTTCATTCATAAAGATAGCAGAATAGTGTCAGAGGGAGGAGTGTTAGACTGGTCCTGGATCTTTCACTAACTATTTACACTCAGTTGGGCAGGTAGATCATTGCTGTGGCTTCATATTCCTTGCTTAGAAGTGGGAGCTGGACCTAATGACTTAAGATTTCTCTTCTGGTTTTAAGCTTTTAGGATTGTGGTATTTATTGTGTTTGATTATAGGATACTAGCTGACCAACAAGTGTGGAAAATAGAACGTGTCTTCACATTACAAGCCATGATGAAATGTATTGGAAAAGATGCACCAATGGCTCTTAAAAGGAAACTGGAGGTAAACACCTTCTGAATTTTCTCTAGTGGTGAGATTTGAGAAAAATATTCCTTGCGACTCGCTGTCACTTCCTGAAGGCCGTTTTTTAGGAGGACATTGTTGTACTTTTGGGTTTAACTTGGCTAAAGTGAGATAATAGCAGTAAATTTATATTTATCTGTCTGTATATATATATATTTAATCAGTATATCTGAGTCATTTTGTTCGAACTTCATCCTTTTTATTTAAAAATAGAAGTTTCATTTATTTTTCCACAAATGTTAAATTGAATTTGTTTGTTTTCTTCAGATGAAAGCCTTGAGGGAATTAGACAGATTCTCTCTCTTGAACAGCCAGCGCATGTTTGAGGTCCTGGCCGCCATGGGTCACTGCTCTGTTGTCCTTCTGGACGAATGCAGCAAGATGGTCGTCGGTGAGGGGAATTTTTCTTACGTGACTTTTAGCATCTGATCTCCTGTTCTGGACTGTATTTGTTTTGTTTGTTTTAAAAACTTTGCTGTTATATGAGAAGTATCTGATGATATGGTTAGCCCTAAATTTTATTTCACCTTTAGTTATTTTACAAAATACATTGCTGTTTTTCCCTAAAGAAACAAAAGTAATCAGTATAGAGTAGCTTGGCTCTTATATTCAAAACCACCTGGTAATTTTTGTTTATTTAACTCATTCTTAAAGGTAATATCCATGGGTGTCCTTTTAAAATATTGATCAGCATACTGCAGTCTTGTAGAGACCTCCGATACCGTAATTTAGATCTTTTCAAGGGAATAGCGGATTATGTGGCTACAACTTTTGACGTCTGGAAGTTGAAACAAGTAAGTATGTTAACAGTTTAGAATAAGCCTCAGAAACTTTTAAGAAGCGTATTAATTCATTTAACATTCTAAGTATTTTTCTCTAGCTTTATGGCAGTTAAGATACCAAAATATTCCAGTGCTAACTTTACTTTTGAGAAGTTAGCTTCTTATCATTTCTCTCAGGGAGTTACTGTTACTATACTATTGAATGTTTTGACCATCTTTCTATCTGAAACAAAAATTATAGTGTCCAAAGTTTGTTCTTCTGTTTGGTTTTTCAAAAGGTTGTGTGGTACTTTGAATAATTAGGATTATTTCTGTCTTTCTATTTTTTCTTTGTTAGATTTAGAACAATAAAAATGAGTGGGTCATGTGACAAGCTTATGCTTTTTGAAGAATTAAATGTCATTACTTAATGATCGTGTCTATTTTCTATTTATGGAAAGTTTGCTTATTTTCTCCAGAGTAAGAGCCTTTAAATTCAGGGGCTGTGTTAGTAATATATACATCTAAATGAAGCAGCCGGTAAAAATTTCATTTTACAGTAAAGCATCGGTAACTGTTAGTTCACTAGGTTCAGTTTACTTTGGAAGATAAGGTGAATATTGAGTTTGCCATGGAAATTGATTTTGGAAAGAGAAGTACTAATTGTGAGAAGGGAAATGAGAGGCAAATTGGAAATTTTAGTTGAATCATAGTATTTCATCTCTATTCTCATTTGTAGAAATTTCTATGGAATATAGAAATTTTTGAGTTGTCTCTTATATGTTAGAATCTACGAAGTGTCTGGTTTGGAAAGGGGAGCAGTTCAACATTGAGTTGGTCATTTTGAAAAACTTGAGAGAAGGTATATTTAGTTTTCAGACCTGTTGTCTGAAAAGCATGTGGGAAAGGATTTATTTCTAAATGAAATGGAAATATGGAGACCATTGTGTGCCGTGGTTCTCAGCTTGTAAGAAGAGGTTGCTTAGTAACTTAATACCTGATTCGAGAATTCCTGGGACAGATTTTGTGAGGAAAAGATAGTTGTTCCTTTTTAGGGAATATTCTCTCTGTCAGGACAATTCTTTGCTGTTTAAATTTTTTGAGATCTAAAAAAATTACTTCTAGCATACTGTAAATATTAAAAAGTTTTCCATCAACTCACTTTTTTTAAGGTTCTCTTTCTCCTCATTTTATTTGAAAACCTCGGCTTTCGACATGTTGGTTTGATGGACTTGTTTATGAAGAAAATAGTAGATGAGGCTGGCGTTCTGAACGTGAAAAGCATCGTCTCCATTCTTCATGTGTATTCTTCTCTCAATCACTTCCACACATGCCAGACCCGAGAGTATGTACTTGGTTTTTTTCCTTTTTTATTGCCATGTAGCATACTTATAGAAAAGATTACAAATCTTCATAAGCCCGGTGAATTATTACAGGTGAACACATCCATGGCCATCATCCATGTCAAGAAGGAACACATAGTATTCTGTATTTGTTTTGTTTGTTTTAAAAACTTTGCTGTTATATGAGAAGTATCTGACAATATGGTTCCTTATTTATGAAGCTAAACAGAATTCCACTTTATTTTTCTATCCTTTGTTTTGCTTTTTTCTTTCTTCTTTAAAGATGGGATATTTGTTAATTCAACATAGGAGTCTTCATGTCAGACTCTCCCAGCTGATTCTCAGCTCCTGTGTTCATAGTTTAGTTTTGACCCTAATTATTCATTTGGTCCCAAACTACTGCTTGCTATTCTTTTCATTTTTAACCGCAGCTGTACAGCAATTAATATTAATTAATTATATGTTGATACATAAATTATATTATTATTAATTAACATTACTTAATAATAATATTAACATGCAATTCCTCAGACGTGCCAGGCTCTTCCCTGCCTCTGCTTCCCCCCGGAATGTCGTTTCTTCCTCTCTGTATCAGTTAGTGTTGACTAAGCACTGCAGTGCGTGTCTGATGTCGTTGGTTAGAAGAGTGATGAAACGCTTGTGCTCTGGAGGCCTCTTGCTTGGGTTTGGATCCCAGCTGTGTCGTTCATTAGCCATTTAACTTCTGGCAAGTCACTTATCTGTGCCTTAGTTTCTCCCTCTATTAAAGTGGGGATAAGAAATAAGAGTCATTTCTAATCACTTTGGGTTGTTATGAGGATTAAATGAATTAACCTGTGTCAGGTTCTTAAAACAATGCCTGGCACACAGTAATTGTTAGATTAAAAAAAAATTAGAGTGTGGGCCACAGAGGCCTTGGAGGAACAAACTGGGCAGTTCTGAGGGTCTCAGTGGCAAGATTCACAGGCCCTTCCTTTGCCGTCAAGTGACTTGACTCCAGCTTCCTTCCATCCCTGTGGTTTCCCCTCAAGGTTCAGATTTCCAGAAGAGAAAGTCTGATTGACCTGAGTTTGGGTCACATGCCTGTCCCTTTGGGGCCAGTAATCACATGGTCACTGTAGACCCTATAGGGGTCTCCAGTCCAGCAGTTCTGGAAGTCAGCTCGTTCTTCTTTTTCTGGTCACTTATTTAGTATTTACCAAACACCATGTGAAGTGATTTTTTTAAATCACTTTATTGAGGTATGATTAACATGTAAAAAGCTGTATATATTTAATATGTACAAATTGCTGAATTTTTGGTTCATTATTCTTGACTTATCCTTTTGCAGTAACGTTCTCCTCACCTAAGTTGATTTGTTCATTTCATCAGAAAATGTGTACCAAGCACTTGAGTACTTAGGACAAAGATAAATAAGACACAGTCCTTTTTGCCAGAGGATTCGGTGTAATGAGTAAGGTAGACACATAAATCGGCAATTAAATACAGCATGAAAATTGGCCTGACAGAGTTGTGTGTGGGCTGTGCGCAGTGGAGGAGGGGCATGTGCGGATCCCAGCCTGGAGAAGTGGAGCCTCAGGTGGATCCCTGGAGATGCTGCCTGGAGGCAGTGGTCCCTGAGCAGACCTTCAGAGAGGGATAGATAGGAGCTGCCCCGGGAAGACAAGCAGGAAGGAATGCTCTCAGTGGAAGGCTCCAGGTCCAAGTTCAGGAGGGCAGAAGCAGCAGAGCGCGTGCAGGGAGCAGCTCGTAGTTGGGAGTTGTGGAGGCACGAGGCTGGCTTAAGGCGTGGGGCCAGCGGACTGGGGAGCTGCAGACAGCCGAGGCCCCACTCCTAGTCATCTGCAGCCCTGCCCTTTCTTGCTACATCTCCACACTCAGTCAGTTATCAGTTAGTGAGCGGTGCCTCACTGTTGTCTCTAGACCCGTTATGTTCTTCCTCCCCATTGTAGCTCCCGCGGTCCTGCTTAGCCCCCACCCCCTCCCTGGCTTCCCGCCTCCCGGCTACTCCTCCCACGGGACCTCCCAGGGCCTCCCAGGCCTTTTCCTCTGCAGCCTCCTTGTTGCTCAGGGTATGCCTGCCCTGCTGTGGACAGCAGGCTCGGTGTGCTCAGGGCGTGCCTGCCCTGCTGTGGGCAGCAGGCTCCAGGCCTTAGCCCTACTCATCGCTGCAGAACCAAGAACGTGCACTCTCAGGGTTCCATCCTCTGTGCAGTCCCAAAGCCTTTTCTTGTCTTTCCCACTTGCTGAAATTCTCCTTGTCCCGCAGCTGCTGTTTGCCTTCCTGGGCAGGCGCACAGCACTTTGCATGTACGTCCTCCTTTTCTCATGTAATGATGTATAGCTTATGCCTAAGCGTCAGACTGACCTGGGGTCAGAGGGTGTCTGGGCCATTTGTTGGCAGTGCCACCCTGGGCAAGAGGCTCCCTAGTTCTGACCTCTCCTCTCTTCCTCTGTGCTGTCTGGCCTGTTAACACTGCGTCACGTTCGCTCTGGGGGGGATTGGCTTGCTGCTCTTTTGACTCAGAGTATTGATAGCTAGAGAATTGTAATTGGTTATAAACCTGCAGGGGTGTCCCAGGCCTTCTGGACATACCCATGATAAAAGCCTAGCTTAATGTGTAGAAGGCTCCGGAGCCTGACAACTTGGGTTCCAAGGCTCTCTCTGCTACTACTTTGCTGTGTGTTCTTGGACAAGTTACTGACCTCTCTGAGCCTGTTTACGCATCTTTGTATGAGGTTAATGATAATTCCTACCCCATAGACTTTTAGTAGGAATTAAATGAGTTAAAGCCTGTACAACATTTGCCCTGTCCATGATGTAGAGCGGTAGCTAACCATCACTGAGTGAGTGTGTTTCTTATGCAATAGCAGCCTAACTGAGAGGTGTGTGAATACGCAGTCAGGCCTGAGTTTCTTGTCTCTTTTCTTTGGACTCCTTTGGTTCTGTGGCACCTCACTCGCCCTTCCGTGACCTTGTCTCTGTTTAGATGTGAAAGCTGACTCTCCTTTGTTCCCCCGAAGGTTCCTGGAAGCCATGGCTGGTGCTCTGACTGGCTGTCTTCACCAGCTCTCATCTGAAAACCTGCTCAACGCCGTGTGTTCCCTCTGCTTGATGAACCGGTTTCCCCTGGCCGCTGTTAATCAGCTTCTCCAAAAGGATGTCATCGGCGAGCTGCTGACGTCAGGTGGGACATAAGTGCACGGTGGTGACCGACACACAGCTGTGCTGCTGGCTGCCTTGTGACTCTCAGTGGGGTCTTGGTGGGAGCAGTGTAAGACGTGCAGAGCAGGGGTTCCGGGGGCAGGAGCAGCGGTGGTGAAGTCGGGGCAGCGCTTCAGACTGAACCTCTGAGCCCCCTGTCGTGGCAGAGCCCAGCATGGAAGGGAGACAGAGAAGCCGTGCCTTCGGTTTACACCTTACGCCCCCAGGCAAGGGCTGAATGTTCACCTCGTTCTTTATCCTTGATCAGAGGTGCTTGTACTTCCAAATCCCCACAAGTCACCTTTGAAGCTGAGGTCAGGCAACCTTTGCAGCTGTAAACACTTTGTCACTTACGGCCTGTAATGAGGCACAGCCTGTGAGATCAGGAAGCCAAGTAGTTACCAAAGGAGTGGATTTGTTTACTCTGGGGCCAAGTTAATTGTTGACCTTTGGCCTTCAGTATTAAACAAGGAAAAGCAGTATCAGGCTAGATGTAGAAAATTTGATGATGCTTCTGAGACTAGAGTTGTTTAAATTCTCCTGCCAACAGTGTTAGGAAGTTCTGAAGTTGCCTTGTGGAGAAGGAGCAGCACGTGCCGATGGTTCAGGCAGTCTGAGGTGGGGCCCTGGGTTCTAGTCCTGGCCTTGCCTTTAGTGCTTCCTGAGGCCTGTTAGCATTGCTGGGCGTTTCCTCATCTGTTCAGTGAAGAGTTGGGACTGAGTCACCTTGAGGGAGATTTTAACCCTTGACACGTTCTCGAGTGCAGGTTCTCAAGTGCAGGCCGTTGCTCTGGACACTGGGGCGGAGGGAGACGCAGAGGGACTCCTCCTGGTCAGAAGTGTGGTCAGAAGTGCGGGCGCATTATTACCGTTTCTGAAGTGTGGCTTAATATTTTTCTTCACTGTATGTTTCTTTCTCTCTCCCTTTTTTTTAGGTGACGTGGAGAGGAATGTTCACAAGCTGCACATTTTGGCTGCTTGCCTGAAGCTCGACGATGCTCCTTATCACAAGGCCGTGGACCTAGCCCTACCACTGCTGCCCCCCGCGCCCTTGCCTCCAAACGCCAAGGTGGCAGAGGCGCTGAGTAGCCTCCTGGGAGATGGATGCTTCTCAAAAAATGTGCAGCTGCCACATAATTATCATATTGGTATGGGACTTTATATGATTTTCCTGTTTTATTTTCTTTTTTCTGACAAAAGAGACGTAATTGGCACAGCAGTCCAGTGCTGCGCTGGCTCTGGAGCTGGACTGCCAGGTTTGGGAGCTCGCTCTGCCCCTCGCTGGTGCTGTGGCCAGCCCTGACCAGCTCCGTTTCCTTAGCTGACAAGTGGCGACCATAATGGTCCCCACTTCATGGGGCTCCTGTGACGAAGAAGTGAGGTTATACCTGTAAAGTCCAGACTAGTGTCTGGTACTTGGTGATTTCAGTGCATTTTAGCTGCTGCCATTATCATCATTGGTGGTAATATGATGTATTTTGAAACGGAAAATCACTTTGAGCAATGTTGAAAAATTAGTATCAATTCTTTTTTTTCAGATTTTGAAATCAGAATGGATACGAACAGGAGTCAAGTGCTTCCATTTTCTGACGTGGATCTGGTAACTTCTGCTACGGATATTCAGAGGTTACGTACATGTATTCATTTGCTGAGCCTCTGAGTTGAAACCTTAATTCTCACAGACTTGACTCTGAATAGCAGTGACAGTATAGGACCTGACACTTGAGTGGCACGTGCAGTGCGCCAAGCGACTTCTCATCCGCTAGTCCACTCCTCAGGTGCAGACGTGGGCTCTGTGGTCGAAGACAGCGGACTGGAGTTGGGCGTTTAATGAAACGGGCAACTTCTAGAACTTAGGTTTTAAAGCTAAACTGTTCAGTTAAGCAGTGTTCCCATCATTGAAGCTATCAGTGCAGCGTGAACTTCTCACGAGAATGTAACAGTGACCATAAAGAATTAAGTTTTCTACAAAAATCAAATACCAGTCAGTGTTTTCCTCTACACTGAAGCCCTCCTGCAGGTAGAGAAGCTTCAGCGTTTTATGACACTGTGTCGTGCACAGGTCAGACTGGCCTGGAGTTAACCGTGCGCTGTGCCCTTGACTCACATGCTGCAGAGTGGGTGTCTCTGGGAGAAATGATTCTGCCCCTGAGGGCAAGTCCTGCCTTTGAAGCAGACGCGTCTGATCGTGCTGTGCATGCCCGCATCCAGGCGGCCTTTGTGGAAAGGCTCTGCTAGGCGCGTGGGGCACACAGAGATGAGTCAGACCCCTGGGAACTTCCGTCCTCTGTTGCTTTATAGGACACGCACATACATACGGAGAGAGGGGTCCAGACAGTCTGTAGGGACTCAAACTCGTGTCTGCCCGTCCCTCTCCACTCACTCACAGCTCTGTAACTTGACCCCCTTCTGAACCACCTAGCTTATTCCTTGACTGTCTTTCTCAACTGCCGCCTTCCCTATACATTACCCATCTCCCCTCAGAAAAAGGCTTTTCTCAGACCTCGTTGAAAGGTCATTTTTCTTTTTCAGGTACTCCACTGTTGTGGCATAATAATACACCATAGTAGCTCTCAGCCTAAAGTACTGAAAAGTGAGGAATCTGAGCATTCCTCAAAAAGATAAAATTTCTCCTACATTATCTCAGATAACAGGCAGAGCCTAATGCAAGACAGTAAGGATACAAATGTCTTTTTTCCCCAATGAATTTAATCTCTCCAAAAGGCCGAAAACAATGAAAAAACAAATTACGCCTTCCATGTTTTTGTTACACATAACAGATTTTATCTTTTTAACAGTCTTGCCTTTCTCTTATGTTCTCTTCTTTGTAAGTAGTCTCCCCATTCTGGTTTTTAAATGCTGCTCTCTCTGGGAGACAATATGTGCAAGAAGAGCATGTACCGTTTGGTGCTGGCTGCATCATTACTTCTAGTAGCGTAAATAATTATGTTTCGATCAGAGATTAGCTCTACACACGGGAACCTTAAAATGGGTACTTTCGTATCTGAAACTTCTCATCGAGAATGTACTATCCTCGAGGATGATTGAGGGTAACTGCGTGTGAAGCATTATTATGAGCTGCTTATACTGGCTTATTTGTAGAGGCCCCACAACAGGGAGGCGAAGGACTGAGATGGCAGGGAACGGGGGCTGCAGTCAGCGGCCAGCTCGACTTAGAGACCTCCAGAGAACAGGAGCGCAGCGAGGTTTTCAGTGGTGGTCTCATTAGTAACTAGTGTCTGCTGTGCACTTTTGTTTTCAGGGTAGCTGTACTGTGTGTTCCCAGATCTGCTTACTGTTTGGGTTCAACCCACCCCAGGGGATTCCTTGCAATGAAAATGCGGCATTTGAAAGGAATGGGTTTTCATGTGATCTTGGTAAGAAAAAAATGCAAATGAAATATTCTTCAGTTACTGATGTCCATTGTGCCAGGAATGGTGTGGCCAAACTTGGTCACTAGGACCATAGAGGAATTGTCAGCAGTATCGGAATACATGTTTTATTTGATTGATTGATTGATTGATTGATTGAGGAGGCTTAGCCCAGAGCTAATGTCTGTGCCAGTCTTCCTTTATTTTGTGTGTGGGTCGCTGCCAGAACGTGGCTGATGAGTGGTGTAGGTCCACACCCAGGATCCGAGCCCGTGAACCTGGGCTGCTGATGTGGCGTGTGCTGAACTTAACCACTATGTCATGGGGCTGGCACCGTGTTTTAGTTACTCTTTTCTTTGAAAAAGAACATTTCTAGTCCATGATTTGGCTTCTACGCAGCTGATTACTGTCATTTACTAGAGGTTTTATAAATGCTACATTTGCTCAACTTTAATTCTTTTTGTTAAGAGGAAAAATATAAATAATATATATTCTTACTTAATGTAAGACACATGAAACCACATTCACTTTCCAGGTTATCTTGAACAAGGAAAGAAAAGGTGCGAATTGAAGCTCTGTTTTCATGGGCAACGTGAGGCTTATAGCACGTTTGTCACCAGAAGATGCTGGATGGTTCTTCTTCCCTCTTCTGCTTCATTTAGGTTCCAGGCCCCACAGCTTTTCTTGAACAGCCTCTCCAGAGGTCTCTATGTGGAGCAAGAACCTTACAAATAAATGTTTATTTAGGTTAATGTTGGGATCTATCTAGATGCCGCTCATTTGGTCCTGCACAAGATGTGAAACGTAAACGTTCGAACCTTCGTTATGTGCTTCAGGATCCAAAAATGGACGACACTCAGATTACTGAGGTTAAAATGGCCCTTTCTATCGATGGGCTACTATTTAAGACTTTTTTTTTCCATATTGGCTATTATAGATATTCTAAGGAAGATTATCCCAAGAAAGGAATTTTTGTACCTTTTAAAGGAGCTTTAAAGTTTTTCTAATTTTCACTGTTAGAGCTTTCTTCGGCCCTAGCACAAAGTCTTACTAAACCTTTAAAATAGGAGTAATTACAAGATAACATTTGCTTTTAAAAAGCAGTTGGCTTAATATTACTTTAATGTGCTTGGATCTTGAAACTAGTTTTTATGTGTCATTATCTTCTTGCAAACTGATGATTTTCCTCTTTCTTTGGTAAGGTCAATAATTGGGAGATGGAAAAACTAGAGATGGAGGATGCAGTCACATTTCTGAAGACTGAAATTTATTCAACTGAAGCCCTTCCTACTGCCAATGCAAACTTGCAGAGCACGTGTTAAAAGTGAAAAGCGACCTTTTCATATTAGGAGACATAAATTTGTAAAAGTATCTTTAATAAAGACTACAATTCAGTCGTCCATGAAATTCACCTGACTGCTCCCCATAACAAAATGTGTTACTTCACTTCACTATTAAAATTAATTTTAACAATAGAAGAATTGTTACTGGCATATTTTGTTGTTGTTGAGTGCACAATAATTTACAACATTGTGAAATTTCAGTTGTACATTATTATTTGTCTGTCACCGTATAAGTGCTCCCCTTCATCTCCAGTGCCCTCCTCCCAGACCCCTTCCCCCCAGTAACCACTGAACTATTCTCTGTGTCCGTGTGTTAGTTTCTATTCCACATAGGAGTGAAATCATCTGGTGTTCATCTTTCTCAGTCTGGCTTATTTCACTTTCCATAATTGCCTCCAGGTCCATCCATGTTGTTGCGAATGGGACAGTTTTGTCTTTTTTATGGCTAAGTAGTATTCCATTGTATATATGTACCACATCTTCTGTGTCCAATCAGCATTTGATGGGCACTTGGATAGCTTCCATGTCTTGGCTATAGTGAATAATGCTGCAATGAACATAGGGGTACATATGTTACTTTGGATTGTTGATTTCAAGTTGTTTGGGTAGCTACCCAATTGTGGGATAGCTGAGTCATATGGTATTTCTAATTTTAGTTTTTTTGAGGAATCTCCATACTGTTTTCCATAGTGGCTGTACCAGTTTGCATTCCCACCAGCAGTGTATGAGGGTTCCCTTCTCTCCATATCCTCTCCAACATTTGTTATTTTTTGTCTTGGTGATTATAGCCATTCTAATGGGTGTGAGGTGATATCTAAGTGTAGTTTTGATTTGCATTTCCCTGATGATTAGTAATGTTGAACATCTTTTCATGTGCCTGTTGGCCATCTGTATACCTTCTTTGGAGAGATGTCTTCATATCTTCTGCCCATGTTTTGATCGGGCTGTTCTTTTTCTTGTTGTTCAGTTGTGTGAGTTCTTTATATATTAGGAAGATTAACCCCTTGTCAGATATATGATTTGTAAATATTTTCTCCCTATTGGCAGGTTGTCTTTTGATTTTGATCCCAGTTTCCTTTGCCTTCCAGAAGCTCTAGTCTGATGAAGTCCCTCTTATTTATTTTTTATTTTGTTTCCCTTGTCCGAGAAGACATGGTATTCAAGAAGATCCTTTTAAGATCGATGTCAAAGAGTGTACTACCTATGTTTTCTTCCAGAAGTTTTATAGTTTCAGGTCTTAGCTTCAAGTCTTTGATCCATTTTGAGTCTCTTTTTGTGTGTGGTGTAAGATAGTGCTCTATTTTGATTCTTTTGCGTGTGGCTGCCCAGTTTTCCCAACACCATTTGTTGAAGAGACTATCTTTTCTCTGTTGTATGTTCTTGTTACTGGCATATTGTATAATATGCTTAGAAAATTCCGGAAGTTGTCATTTTTCCAACCATACGTATTCCCTCTAGTATCCAGGTTTTTGACAAATTCGTGAGCTGTAGGTTTTACTTTTTCTCATTAGTTTTGATGCATTGAAAATTGGTTTCTTGGTTGTGATGGTTTGCAGGTAAGTTGGTGTGGGCAGTCCTTGTGTTTGGAATCTGCATGTTTATACTCTTGCTACGAGCTGTTCTAGGACTCGGGCATTGACTCCACTTTCAAGCACTGGCCGCATAGCAATTGGACCAAGTTCTCAAATTGTAGACTGAGTAAGAATTAATGAGGCAGCATGTTAAAAATGGGTGAGGGTCAGGCATCTGCATTTGTAACAGGCACTCTGGGTGGAGGTGAGCCTGTCTAAGCAACACAGATGAGATCATACAGAGATGGCCAGGAGTCCAGATTTATTAGAACTGATAGTCTGGGGGTTGGTGACCCGTAACTCATGCTTTGTTGAGGTCGTTCCTTTCTTTTCCCCTTCTCTCACCGTTTCATGAAGTCTCTTAAATTAGCTACATAGCTGGACTGTGTTGTGAGTCAGACCTGAGGACTGTTTTTCGATTATGTTTGTTCATTCTTTTGTTGAAATATTTGCTCAAGTTTGCTGCGTACCCGTCTACCTAGCATTTGACTCACTGTGGACGTAGCGAGTTTCACCTGTGAAGCCTGAGTGCCATCGATGTCAGGTGGTATTATTGTACCCTCATACAAGAGACTGAATGTTCATGTCCCCCAGAAATCGTAGGTTGAAACCTAACCCCCAATATGATGGTGTTTGGAGGTGGGCCTTTGGGAGGTGATTAGGTCCTGAGACTGGAGCCCTCACAAATGGGGTTAATATTCTTATATGAGGGACCCCAGAGAGCTCCCTCCTCGCTTCTGCCACGTGAGGACATGGTGAGAAGATGACCATCTATGGGCCCTCACCCAACACCGTATCTGCCAGGACCTTGACCTTGGACTTCCAGCCTCCAGAACTGTGAGAAATCAATTTCCTTTGTTTATCATTCGTCCAGGCTGTGGTGGTCTGTTAATATCAGCCCAGATGGTAAGACACCCAGATTTGCAGATGTGCAGTTACTGGAGACCCTGCTCGATGCCAGGCCCTGCTGAGTGCTCACACGGTTCTCTGCTTTCCTTGTCTTAACTCTGAGCTGCCTGGTGAGTCTCATTTCCTCATCTCTAATATGAGGATGAATTATCTGCCTGGGCTTCACAGAGAGAAGGGCAGGGCTGGAGTTTGAACGTGTGCTGATGTGGGCTCATGAGGAGAGTAGTGAGCAGCCCCAGGCTGGCAATAAAACAGCCCGGCACTGTGACTGCACGGCAGGGGTTTCTGCACCCCGTCCAGCCGTGTGTAGAAGAGCTTAGATAGAGCTGAAGGGAATTTAGCAATCGCCTCATCCACCTTCGTTTTATGGATGAGGAAGTTAAAGCTCAAAGAATTAGGTTTTTCTGGCGTCTCAGCCACGTCATCAGTTTCCACCTCATTTCATCCTCTACTTGCCTGTGTCTCAGGAAATCTGGATTCTGGTTCCAGATTGGACCTCATCTGGTTTTGTGTACTTGGCCAAATGATTTAACCATCACAAGGTTTGGACAAGCGTGGAAAATATTGTTATTAAAGACACTAAGGTTCTTTCTTTAGATGTTCAGTGTGTATCTTTCTCCTAGCGGCAAATTATGACTCATATGCAAAGGAGTGGATGAATTTATGAATACTTGTAGCTGCCCCCTGGGGAAATCATTTTCTTTGTTTGTATCAGTTGGCATGGCAGGGAGAAAGACACCTCTCTTTTACTAGTATTCCTAGTATTTGCATTCTTCATTGCTTCATGGTCTAAAAAGATCTGTGAGACTCAAGGTGCAGAGTGAGGGAAGATGGTTTAAGTAATAATATATGTGTTCTCAGGATTATTAATATAAGGATTTACTCCTCACTCCAGGGAAATATGTAAATATTCCCCTTTTCTGGTATTTATTCAATTGACTCTCAAAGAAAACAAAACCATGCAACTCCAGTTTAATTTCATAGACCCACACAGTGAGAGAAGATCAATAGATAAGGGGGAGTTTATACATCCAAATTCTGACTGTTCTTGATCAAGTCACAAAATATTTTATATCTTAGTATCACTATCTCCATTTTAAAAAGGGTGAAACGAATCTACTTTATTAACCAACTGAAAGAGGGACCATGAAAGGTATAAGCTGACGAGTTGGTATAAGCTGATGCGGTCCCACGTGGAGAAGTCAGCCACCTTGGGAAAGAGAGCAGGTGATTTAAAAAGACTCTGGCCTTTTTATGTCTAATTCTGTATTCTGACTTTGACCTTTTTTTGTTTGTATGTGTTTGATTAAAAAGGCTTCTTTGGATTCTTGAACTTTATATTTACATTATAATTACATCAAGTATACACACAGGTAAACATCAAGCAGAGGGAAAAAATAGGTGATATATTTATGACAAATGTCTAAATAAAAAGCTATAAATTGATAAGAAATACACTAACATTACAAAAGACAAATGAGCAAAGAGCTGATTAACATGAAACGTTTCAGGCTACTAGTAATCAAATACGTGCACCTTCAAACAAATGAGGTATTTTTGCCTTTCAAATTAGCAGTGTTTTTTTCCTTAAGAGTTACAGGGCTGACAAAGGGGTAAGGACACAGGCACTTGCATAAGCTGCTGTGGAATGTAAACTAATGTAATCTTTCTGGAAGTCACCTTGGCTTTTCCCTCTATATTTTAAAAAATAGCTTTGTTGAAGTATATTTGAGAAACAATACACGCATATATTTAAAGTGTACATTCTGATAAGTTTTAACAGATATATAAAATATCCTTGAAAATACCACCACAGTCAAGATATGAACAGGGCCACCCCTAAGAGCCCCCTCCCTCTCGGCCTCTCCCTCTGATCCCTGGAGACCACAGGTCTGCTTGCTATTGCTTAGAACACCCTTTGGCTGTGTGCATCCAGAGTCTTGAGATACTGGTATCTATTGACATTGACCAGTAATTCGATTTTTAATAATCCTTGTGCCTGTATGCTTACATAATGTACATTTGAGAAATATTTGCATTATTCTACGTTATGTGGAAGGATTCTTACCACTCCAGATGTGGTATTTTACTACATACGAGCCAAGCGCTGGAAACTATTTCAGTGTTCATTGTTAATAGAGTACACATCTATCTCCTAAGCGCTTGCTCCTCAGAGCGTGGTCCACACGCCAGCAGTGTCGGCATCGTCCCGGTGGTCAGAAATGCAGAATCATGGGGCCCATCTCAGGTCTACTAAACCGGGACCTGTATTTTAACAGTATCCCAGCTGATTTTATATTCTTTAAAATTTGAGAAACACTAAGACATCATTTTAGTAACTGTAAAATGTTATCTAGATGTGCCATAATTTACTTAATAACATGAGGAAAACTTTACAGTTATATTAAATGGAAAAGCAAACACCAACTCTATATACTAGGATTCAAAGTTTGTTTTTAAAAAGTGCAGTTTAAATACTGCAAAAAGGTGCCTAAAAGGATAGGAAGGAGAGGATAAAAATGCAGAAAGTGGTATTTCTGAATAGCAGAGTTGTAACTGGTCTTAATTTCCTTTATACTTTATTTCCAAGAGTGAATATGTATCACACTTAAAATCAGAAAACAAATAATTACTTGACCCCAATCTACTTCTAAT